CTTTTGTATGAAGGAAATTTGGTTGATTACACTTTGTTTTTGAATTGAAATCATTATTAAATTGTAATGATGTGTTTTACTATATGGTTACGTGAACGAATTATGCTTGCATAATTATTGCTCCTTGTTATTGGTTGCATGTGATTATATTGATTATTCTCACGTTAAAAAGGTGTAGGTTGGAAGATCAACGGATAGATTTAGATCAAATGGTTTAGGGTTTAAGAGGTATCCCTTTACCTTTGGCTATATATAATCTCGTAAGCAATATTGTAAAGCTTTTCATCATTGGAGGTGTAACAACCGGAAGGTTTTTATTAAAGAGTCCAAAGAAGGTGTGTGTTTATTGGCGAGATAGTGTTCCTCACTTTCGTAAAGGAACAACTATAACTATTACATTAAACGAAATAGAGATGGTCTACCGACGCAGAAGACCCTCTCGTCGAGCGATGACGTAGGTACCAACAACTCAGGAGTGGGTATTCTCTCCACATGTCTGTCCATTCCCTCAAGGCTGGGTCCCACCGGAAAAACATTCTGGCGGTTGCATTTCTCAGTCGGTGTGGTTCTGTCATGTTTGCCGCGATCCAACGGGTGAACCTAGTTGTTTGTACACCAACACTTCCCACATTATAAGGATGGGGTGGTAACCTCTGGACGGTGCGAATGTTGGCTTGACTGAGGTGATTGAAGAGCCTCCATGAAGCTTCACAGGCGTGAATGTAACGAATGTGGTAGTACTCAGATTCATTCTCCTTGCTGTTTTCTCTTGAATATGTCCCTGGAAGTGCGGTGGATTCTGTTATGTTAATTCCTCCGTCAATGGTTGTCCTCTTGAAACCGTATGTGATGGTTTTGATTTGTAAATCAAGATCGCCGAATCCTAGAGTAGCCGACCTGGAAATTGATTTTTGAGTTTGGTTGGAGTAATAATAAATATAATAAGTAATACATTTTGAATCTTTCAATGTTGGAAAACTTACGTTACGTAGCAAGTTTGTGGTGTAAGTCCGTCTGACCTATATGTCATCATCTTTCCTTCCCGTTCTTTGAAACCTGCATTGGACACATGTAAACTGACCCGACGTTAGTAAGACGACAATAATTGATCTCTACTATAATCGTGAATGCACTATTTGTGTGGTTTATTTAGTAAATAGGACAAAGCCGCAGGAGAATGAGCTCATAATACTCTCATTAACAGTTGTTTAGCGAATACAAAAATTAGAATAACAAAGATCTGACCAGTGATTTCTGTGTTTGCTTTTGCAAATCTGAGCAAGCGCTGAGCGTCCGAGGGCATGTATATCTCCTTGGTTATCGCAGTTGAAGGAGGAGGGAAAGGTCGCTCGATGATGATACTGCCGGTGAGGATGTTAGAACATGCCTCAATGTTTTTCCGTGCTTTTAGTTGATGTTTTAGGAAACTTTGATCAAAAACACCTTTTCATTCTCTGCACAATGGACCAGTACACTCATGGTTTTTTTTCTTTTTCTTTTTTAATTTTCCATGTGAACTTGGGACCATCTTTGTTTCTATTTCTGGTGTCCAATTAGATACCTTGAATTCAGTAATTTACCACGTATTGCTTTGGTTTTGCTTTGCAGGAAACTGGTCCTGTATCCAAATGGAAACAAGAGCAAGAATACAAAAGATCATGTTTCTGTTTACTTGTCTCTGGCAGACTCTACTTCATTAGTTCCTGGATGGGAGATTTCCGCTGTTTTCCGTCTGTATCTGCTTGATCAAAACAAAGATTGTTATCTGATTCTACAAGGTAGAGACATATTTGTAACTTCTTCATCAATTACTCTGTTTTTCCTCTTCATGATCCTACCTTACTATACATTTCTTGTTGCAGGAAAAGAGAGACGGTTCCATGCGGTCAAGCGTGAATGGGGATTCGATAAATTCATCCCTACCGGTACCTTCTCCGATGCATCAAACGGTTACCTTATTGAAGACACGAGTATGTTTGGAGCTGATGTTTTTGTCTCTAAGGAGAGAAGAAGCGGGAGAGGAGAATGTTTGTCAATGATCAAAGACGCTACGAGCTCTAAACACGTCTGGAAGATTGAGAATTTCTCCAAGTTAGATAAAGAAAGCTACGACTCAAATGCTTTCTTCGCTGGAGACAGAAAATGGTAACAACATTGTATTTGGTAGTATATAGTCCCAGAACCGTAGGTTGTAGTAATAATCGATTTTTTAACGCAGGAAGATACGGTTTTATCCATCGGGAACCAAGCAAGGAACAGGAACCCAACTTTCTGTCTTTCTCATCCTCGCAGATCCTGAAACTGTTTCAGACGGTACAAAGATATTTGTAGAGTTTACGATACGGATATTTGATCAGCTTCAAGGCAGGCACATTGCAGGGAAAGGTAAACAAACAAACCCACAAACTCAATTCTTGATACTTTTGACTTCTTGATCTGTAACTTCTCGTGTCTGTTTTTCAGTTACTAAATGGTTCAGTCAATCGAGCTTGGAGAACGGATGGGTTAAATACGTATCGCTGGTTTATTTCACGCAGCCAAACAGTGGCTTGTTGCTCAAAGATGTCTGTCTCGTTGAAGCTGATGTCTCCGTTCTTGGAATCACTAGTGCACTCTGATCTCAAAAAAATGTCACATGTGGTGTCTTATGTCTCCGATTTCTCAAATTGCAAACAAAAGATGATCATATTGAATACTTTCTTATATAAATTATCTTCTCAAAAGAAGCAAGAAATACAAAATATGATCTGAACTTTCTTACCACAACAATAACAAGTAAAATAGTAATAATATTACTCAAATCTTTTTCTTCAAAGTTGAAAAAAAAAAAAAAGAATTAACCCATCTCAGAGTTGAAACTAAAATACATAAACAAAGTGAAGCAGAGCTAAAACCTGAGACTGGTTCAGGTTTTCAAGCTTGGACCTTGTTAGACTTGAGTGGCTTCACAACCTCCCAGGTGAAATCAGGGTCGTCCCTTCCAAAGTGACCATAAGCAGCAGTCTTCAAGAACCTACCGTTGCCTCCTCTCTTCAAATCCAAGTTAATAGAGATCATCCCTGGCCTGAAGTCAAAACTCTCCTTGACAATCTCAAGAATCTCCTTGTCTGGGATCTTCCCAGTTCCGTAACTGTCAACGAACACAGACAACGGCTCAGGGACACCAATGGCGTACGAGACCTGCACAATGCACCGCCTCGCGAGCCCACTGGCTACAATGCTCTTAGCTGCTTGCCTAACGATGTAAGCACCACTCCTGTCGACTTTGGTTGGGTCCTTCCCGGAGAAAGCACCACCTCCGTGTGCACCCCAACCACCGTACGTGTCGATGATGATCTTACGCCCGGTGAGTCCAGCGTCACCGTGAGGACCTCCGATCACAAAACGACCAGATGGGTTGAGATGGAAGATCGTCTTCTCGTCAAGGTACTTCTCTGGAATCACAGGCTTGATCACATGCTCCTTGAGGTCAGCTGCGATCTCGTCGTTGGTCACGGTCTCGTCGTGCTGCGTGGAGATGAGAACAGTGTGGACACGGACTGGGACCATTGCTCCGTTCTCGTTCAAGTACTCAACGGTGACCTGAGTCTTACCGTCGGGTCTCAACCACGCGCAAGTTCCGTTCTTGCGAACCTCGGTGAGCTTAGCTCCAAGCTTAGTAGCGAGGACGTGGCTAAGCGGCATGAGCTCAGGGGTCTCGTCGGTGGCGTATCCGAACATGTGGCCTTGGTCACCGGCTCCGACCTCCTCCGGCTTCTTCGTGAGGTGACCGTGGACACCTTGCGCGATGTCGGGGCTCTGCTGCTCGATGTTGACGAGGACCTTGCAGTTGTCGGCGTCTAGGCCAACGTCGGCGGAGACGAATCCGATTTCGCGGCAGGTTTTGCGGACGATCTTCTCGTAATCGACGTTAGCCTTGGTGGTGATCTCGCCGAAGACCATGACCATGTTGGTCTTGGTGCAGGTCTCGCAAGCGACTTTGCTCTCGGGGTCTTGCTCGAGGCAAGCGTCCAGGATTGCGTCGGAGATCTGATCGCAGAGCTTATCGGGATGTCCTTCGTTAACGGACTCCGATGTGAACAAAAACGATTCCATTTCAAAAACCTAGCAGAGACCAATCCAAACAAAATTATCAATGAGAACAAACAATTGAATTCACAATCGAATCGAAATCAATAACCAGATCTAGAAATCCGCAATCTAAACAGCAATTCAATTCAACAGTCACTCGATTTCTTCAATCGAAGAGACTAAAACACAGAAATGCAGAATCGTAAGAACATATGAATCGAAGATTGCATACCTAAAGAGAGAGAGAGAGTAATGGAGGCGGTGAGTGAAGAAATGTGGTAGTACGAAGGTGAAGGAAGAGTGAAGAAGGTTTATATATAGGAGCAATGAATAGGTGTAAGATCGTAATTTCGTCCAGATTCATTCCCAGTTTCGTCTTCCTTCTCTCTGTTCAGAGAAAATGAGATCCAGATATCTGACGGTTCAGATTAGATCTATAAAAGAAAGCTGATTTGAACCGTCGGATTTACTTAACTGGACCACCGCGTGCAAGTACAACTAGACAACAGCATCTAATGAAAATCGCGGCGAATCACGATAATAATTACTGATGGTTATCGAGAATCAATTTAAGTAGTACTAATGCAAATCGTATTTAATTGTAAGATATTTTGAAGCATGTGACGCTGAATTCAATGAGTTAATACTTAATAATATCGTAGTAAATCATGAAGAAGTTACTGTAAAAGTCTAATAGAGTTTGTGTCGGTGAGTGAGTGAGAACGGGAACGTGATTACCGGAAAACCGGAAGGGACCGTTAAGACTTAAGAGTGAAATAGAGAAAAACTGATAAACACAGGCTGTCTCTTTGCTCTTTTAGTGATGGGTCCACTGGCCACCGGCAAAAGGACAACATATAATTCTTTTTTTTTTCTTTTCTATTTAGTGTCGGCTACGGCTAGCTTGTCAATGAAAATCTGATATTGTCCGTTCTGAAAAGGAAAATTTGAGCACTTTTACCAGCCTGCCAATAATTTTGGTTTAGGTGTAAGATCGCAAACTGAAATTTAGATCACCACCTAGTGTTTTCATTGAGGATCGATTGTTTTAGCTTTTCTTTTGTGAACTTCTTTTCCAAGTTAGATAGCTTAGAATTTGGAGTTTGGGAATTGGGAGTTGGGACTGAGTATAACGTCTAAAACATATAACTCAAATTTAAAGGATTTTATACTATGTAGGTGTTTATCATTTACTATAAGATAAGCATACTACATAACATTTTATTATATAAAGCTGGATGCGCGCGACGTGGTTGCGACACGTAGATTTTTATAAAATATAGGATTGCGACATGTGTCACTTTTAATGTTATATCCGTTAAGATCGTGACACATGTCTTCGGAAAAAGAAATTTTTATTTTAAAGAAATTTTAATATCTTATAATAAAAACGAAATTTTATATAATAAAATGAAAATAATGTAATAAAAAATTCCTATTAGTATATGGAATAGGTATGTAAACTAAATATCCTAAAATTGTATGGAATAGGTTATATAAACTCCTATTTAAAAAAATCCTATTAGTACATGTAATAGGTATGTAAACTAAATATCCTAAAACTGTATGAAATTGGTTACATGAACCCCCTATAAAAAGAGAGCTATTGTAGTCTCTTTTTCTCATTCACAAACTCATCAAAGCAAATTCAGAAAATCTCTTTGATTCTCTTTCTCTAATTTCAAAATCATGTCTTTGAAAGTTCAAGAGAACAGTGGAGATTATTTGACTCTAGGTCAATTGGATCGAAATTAAAATTATTTGAATAAAATCCTATTAGTACATTAGGAAAAATCAGAAAACAGGAAACAAACAATTAAAAAGAAAAAATATTACATCCATTATGAGAAGTAAAGAAAAAACATAATTCTATTACGAAAAGGAAAAAAAAAAAATCAGAAAAACATGAAGAAATAATTAAAAAATGTTACATCCAATAAGAAAAGGAATAAAAAAACATAT